TATATTGTTATATTGACCAAATAATAATTTATTGGCCAAATTGAATAATAAAAATTTATATTGTTAATTTAAATAAGAATTAAAATTGTTAATTTGAATGTTTGAAATATTACACACGATAGGGGCGCCTCTAGTGTCCGTTATCAAACGATTACGGGACAGACGGATATCCGTTGAATGGGTTATATATATATAGATGGGAGTCATGGTAAAAATCAGATGATAAAAATCCAATTACATATAGAGTCCTATAATGAGCAATGAAAGCAACTGCCATTCGAAATTCGAGTAAAGCAAAAACAAAAAATTCAGACAAAGTGGTTTACAAATTATCAATGACGACAAATTAAAAATACGTACTTCTGTTTTTATTTGTGTAAAATTTTAAGCGAATCAACTCCCTCTGCCTCTTAACCGCAGTGCTTCTCATACACCTATTGTTTCCACCCTCTGCGAAAGCTATTAAACTTTATAAATATTAATAAAACGAATATAAACAGAGTTTTAAAACTACTGTTAAAAAAACTTTAATTTATATCAGTTTTCATAAAAGTCAGTTCCCAAAATTTAATCATAAAAGACTAAATTTTGGAAACTGTCTGTATTTGGACTCGATTCAAACAGTGATTCAAACAGCCCTGTAGACCATATTTTAGCCTATATAAAATTAAACTTTTAAGATTTTTTATCTCAAACTTTTAATTATATACAAAGATTTAATTATTTTATTTTTTTGACTAAAATGAAAGCACATTTCAAATAAAATTTCTAAAATAACCATTATTATTTTATATGGAAGTTTTAAAAATTTAAACTTATTCTAATTAGCTAGTTTTATGAACTTGTTTTTCTTTAAACATCGATTATTTCCACGAAGCGTGCTTTAATACTAAATTCTAAACTTATTAAGAATTTTGCATACTTTAAATTACGCTGCCTTGAAGTAAATATTTCTTACTTCAAGGCAGCGAAATGCGAACTATTTTACTTCTAAATATTATTAATTTATTAAGCTTATTAACTTATTAATAATGTAATTATTATTAATACTGGTGGTTGTCACGAATACAAATTCGTGACCATGAATGTCTATTAAAAAAATGTGAAATCTCAGTTTGTTGTGTTGTGTCGTTACACAGTAATAATGCATTAGAGAGACAATAGATAGACCTCACAATCTTCACTCACAAGTGAAGCAAATTAAAATGAAATGGGTAGATTTAAATGTTAAGAAATATGGATTTAAGTTAAAACATTAGTATGAGATTAAACTTAAATAAAAGATAAAAAATATATTTATATATACTATATGATTGTTAACTTTTAAATTGTTTTTTATTGAAAGTATTTATATTGGTTTTACAGTGTTGTAAACAATACTTTTCAGCCACACCAAATAATGCGACAGGTTTATTTTTTCAAGGATACAATATAATTGCGAAGTGAATAGATGATTTCGTTGTGAATGGAAACGAGAACGGAATTCATATCATTTTTTAAACAATACTACAGACACAAACATTTGCTATTCTAAATACTGTATTCAAAACTCTGTTTNTGAAATTCTTTTGTAGAAATTATCAAAACCCAAAACTTCAAAACTCTGTTTTCTACGTTAAATTCGGAGTTAAACCACAAGGTACAGTCAAATTTTTATTTTCTTTTATAAATAAGTTCCTCGTGTCTTTTTTCCTCTTTTTTGTTTTCAAAATTAAATTAAATTATTTTAAAGAATTTAATACTTTATTTCACTGTTTTATTGGAAGACAATAAAATATGTTTACAAAATCTCGAGTACTGGCAAACTTTCGGTTCATCTTAGGGAAGATTTTATGATGTTAATTTTATGAAAACTTGTTCAGATAATATGTCTTGTTAACGTTTCTTCTAAGATTTCTCCGATGATAAATTGAAAGATTTGTGAATTCGAAATTTTGTGAACGTTTTATCTTTTAATTAATGACCAATAAAGTAGTGAAATAACATATTTTGAAAATGTTGCATTTATTTTGACTTTTTTAAACATTTTTATGTAATGAAATTGAGACGAAATGTAGACACGAATGTGGTAAATGTGATTCCGCAAGAAAAATTTATAGTAAATGAAATAAATATTTAAAATTTGGGTATAAATTATTATATCTAGTACTGATGTAAATACTAGATTAAGCAAATAACAATGATCGCATTCAGTCTACTCAATCCATTCTAACTGACCATAGCGATAGCTGAAATACATCAAATCACCATACCACGTAATGTTAGCTGAGCAAAAATTTATTTATTACACTAACGATAGCTGGTACAGTACATACCGATCCTATATCTATTGAATGTTGAGTTACTACAAGTGTCTTAATGTCACAGTTAGTACTACGGTGTCTAAATATACAGGTGAACGCATCCACAATGTTCGATTCAAAATCTCCGTTACTGAGCAGCTCAACCATAGAAAAATATTATTTGCCGACGTTTACATTCTATTTTTTGCAGAAATGACGTGTCACACTCCTCTCGGAATGTCAATAGGGTCTTTAAAATTTATAAAGAAACATTTATTACCTTTGAAAGATAAGATTAATAATTTTTGATTCAAAAAGTAATGAGTGTGTGTGTGTATATATTTATTAGCTTAGTAGCGTAGTTCTTTAATACGCCGAATATCAATAGTGATGTTAAAAAATAAACACGGATAGGTTGAGTTAGTTTTAAAAAGGGTTGACTTGTAACTACAATCGGCATTTGTTTACTTTGTGATCAGACACGCGAATTTTTACCTTCAGAGTAGCTTCGAAAGTAAAACTTCTCACGCGGAAGGTGAGACGTTTCGTTTGACGATTTATTTTATGTTGTGTTTAGTAGATCTGATTTTCGAACCTAATTTAAACTTAATCTTAATTTTTGGCATTATTATTGATATTGTACGTAAAACAGGTCGTTAAACGAAATTGACCATCCCACGCCTGTAGTTTGTCCAATCACCAATTAAAAGAAATTAACACTTAAATTTAATTTAGAAATGTTATTTTTCTATTTTAATATTCTCATTTTTAAGTTATATTCGTTTTTATTTTAAATATTTTTGTTCTATTAATATGTACTTTCGAACTACTTTTACAATTAATTAATTAATTGCCGAACGGCCACCCATACGAAGGCGATAGATGCAAATGACATTAACGTAATACAAACCTACGATAAACACGACGCGAATCGGCTATTTTGGATCGAACATGGCGGATGCATCGGTTCCCCTATTTAGGTGCCTTAATTAGTATCGTAAATGAATTCCGATACTAACTGACGTCAAAACACTCAACATGTTCTGAATTATCGCTACTATACAGGATGTTCAGCAGAAAAATATTCAACTGTGCCGAAACAGTTGAGTCTTCTAAATCAGCCAATTACTAAATTAATAAGTAATAAAGTTTAAATCAAGCCTATTACTATTACTAAATAAAATGGAAATATCAGTGTCTAAAAATAAATAATAGATAAAACGATAATTAATCACACAAATGTATCACTTCATGGGTTCAAAAGCTTCTTAGGCATTTTGCCATTGAAACGACGAGGAAGAAAAGAAACATCTTACTTTGGTACCCCTCAATGCTTAATTTTATGTACAAAAATTGTTTATAAATCATAGTACAGATATAAGTAAGTTTACATAACACATTAATGTGGGATGTAAAATTACATACAGTAGTAGCAACTATTATTACGGTATTTAATTCTTTGTTCTATTAACATGGAACCGAACTCTCCTTATACCATTCATCTTTATTAGTTAATTTTCTGCATATTTACATTACTGCAACTTATACGTATTAACATGAATGTAATTTGTAATGTGACGTAATTACATTAATTATAAACATACAAGCATTATATGTGTTGTATACCTTATGTGACATGATTATTCTAAAACTTGAAATGGTCTTTAGAACAAAAACGATTTTAAATAAATTCAAAAATATTTCTTGTCATTTTTGGCATATTTTTAATGATTTGAGAATCCATATTGTGCCATTCTCATTCAAATTCAGATTGATTTCGTAATGAACATCAGTATTGTATTAGATATACTAGCTTGTCATCTTCTAAAAGTTCTTATACAGTATTTTATTAAAATATTGATAATTCATCATTCTAAAAATAGAAACTCTTACTATAAAAAATGAAACTGAAATTCTTTTGTAGAAATTATCAAAACCCAAAACTGTATAAATAAAAATCCTAGTACAGTATTTCGATAAGAGAAAACTGGCTAAAAATTTTATTAGTCTCTTATAATTACTAATTATGTTTATCCGCTTAAAAAATTTTTTGTTTTTATTAATATTATAATTCATGTAATAATTTATTATATAGATATTAAAAAATGTTAAATTGTCATAGACGTCGTATGATATGCAAATTTGTATTATATTAAATAAGGGATAAATGAATGGCGCTTAATAATGGTGACCAGACCCTAAACACCGGAGTTCGATTGGGGGTTCACGCCTCACTCGGACGAGCTGGCAGCGGGAGTTTTTCTGGGTTTTCCTTTTTGCCAATGACGCCTGAATAGGGGCCAGCTTCCCCTTCAAGTCCTCCCGGAAGGCATTCTGTCCCCCCTTCTCGCGTGGGTCGTCTCCTGTAAGGCCGGCTTTGGTCGCTTCATAACTTCTCTTCCTCGGATTGGTCGTCTTCGATAAGGCCGCCTCTTCGGTCGCTGTGCGATCTTCCCCTCTGTTCTTCCGGAGTGAAAAGCGAAAAGCATTCCTCTATCGAGAATGAAAATGAAATAATGAATATTAACGGAGTTGTTCCCCAGGGTCGTGATGGAGAATAGTATTTAATATCGAACTTCGTTCGGTATGCTTGTCATAGATCCGTCTAAATGTTAATTCACAACAGAAGTATGTGGAATGTGCACTGTCAGAGTGTGTTCTTGCGACTAATTGTCGTCGAGTGCATTTATAGTGTTTCTGATGTACAGTACAAGGTCGTGGCAATGTATTGAAGAGACTTGAGAGGAATATGTAACGCTGTATATGGTTGTAACTTTTATTTGTAAAGCTTGGTGTATATATAGGTATGTTTTTAAATCAAAAAATTTTTGATATATAATTTTATAGTTTGTGTATATATGTATATTATATATGTGTTGTGTTAATTATATACGTTTCGGGCTCCCAAGCCCCTCATTCGGGCTCCCAAGCCCCTCATCAGCCAATTAAAATATTAAAGGAGTATACCTCCTTTAATATTTTAGTTGGCTGATGAGGGACTTGGAAGTCCGAAACGTGTATAATTTTACACGTATCAACTGAATAAAAGATGAGAAAATCTCCAAGTGTCTTAATTTATAACACTCCATTGTGTTTGAAGCGATATTGAAATTGAAATTCTTTTATTAAATCATGCGTATCTCCTTTACTAAATTTTCGTAATCGTGTTTGTATTCTATGTCCTTGGCCATTTTATTATCGATTTTACAGTATAAAATGATGACATCACTTAAATTTATCTCTTCGCTATTAGTTCTTTTTCGATAATTAAATCATTTATATGTTATATTTTAATGAAAATTTCGCGTTTAAATTTGAAAAATTTTATGTTTTATAAGGCTGTTATGATTATTGTAACTACAATACAGTTTAAATGTTTTTATGGATTAAAAAACAGACTCTAAATAGTTAATAATACTAAAAATATAATTAAAATAATTAAGTAGCTTTATATTTCTATAATCAAAAATGTGAAAACAGATAAATAAACTAGTATATATGAAGTGTATTCGTTTATCAGAATAATGTACTGTATATTTTTTTGTTACTTTGATGTCGCTTCTACATTTTTTAAATATAAAAGAGTAAAATGACGTCAAACTGACGTAATATTGTATACCACTCCGACGAAACAAATGGCATAAGATCTTCCTTAAGTCTTTCAAAGAAATCTATATTGAGAAGTTGAATCAATACAATCGATTAAATTCACTAGCTATTATTCCAAATAAAGAAATTATACTGTATATTTAGTTCAATAATATGAGATTACGCCAAAGAAATACGTGAAACAAAAGCGAAAATACAGCAGTAAGTTATAATCAGTTATAAGGAATCTTAGTTTAAAAAGTCTTAATATATGTTATGTAAATATTATGATTCATTATAAGATTTCTTATATAAAACTCTAATACTGTATGTCTACGATTCTTTATAGTATTTATTATTAGTTATATGCTACTTTTATAAAAAAAATAATTTTTCGCATTAAGAATATTAAATCTCTGCTAAAAAATATCTAAATTTATTTCATTATAACAGATGAGTGTTGAATTTTGAATAAATAAACAACCATAAAACATAAGTCCTATCGTACAAATCAAGTTTAACATCTAAAATAGTATTAAAATCTCAGGAAAATGTATTTGGACTCGGACTAGCTTAAATTTTTCTGCTTCGATAATATATCTAAAGCTCTAATCTTATATATTATTGATTTTCGAGAGAAAAAACATATTACATCTCTAGATATGGGTGGTTCAAAGTCAACTAAGCAAGTTAGCTTAATTTGGACCTTCCTAAAATATATTGATATTTTAAATTTAGCTATTATTAATATTAATATAATTAGATATTATTTAGCTATGCTGTTAATCGCAATTTTGATAATTAAGAGCAAGACTAATCAATAATGGAGTCAAGAGCATAGTAAAAAATTAAGAACGAAACTGTGATCTGAACTGATCAATAAAAAAATCATCAGAATTCAGATCTGATTTCAACTTATTTGCTGTATATTATTTAGTTTACAGAAAATAAATTGGAGTCTGATAGTGTAAAACTGCTATTAGCTATTTAATAACATTGAAAAAAAGAAAAATACTAGCATCAACTAAGTCTAAATTTCAATGAAATAAAAATAATTAATATACATATATATATATATATACTGGTGCAACTACCCTATGTATTATATATATATATATATATATAATACATAGGGTAGTTGCACCAGTGAATGACCGGCTCTAGTGAATGACCATATTGTCAGAAATTTGTTTAAAATGAGTGCCACGGCAAGAAAAACTAATCAGGAGCACGAAGTTACTGAAAATAAATTACATTTTGAAACATTCTTTCATTGGTCATTCAGAAACGCGTGATAATGTGGATGATAAGTGCCACATTTTATAAACATGTTGCAAATGTCTTTTACCTTTGGCTTCTGGATAAGAATATCAGAAAACAAACAACAATCATCAAAATTAGTTTACAAAACTAACTTTGCAGCTTTATTCTTTGAAGCTTGGAGAAAGCTTTAAAATTGGAAACAATTCAACATGGATTTGAAACGTGATTTGTTTTCTTTTGATCCAAATTGGGTGAATTATTCAAAATGTATTTCTACTAGGCGTAAGGTATTGTTTCCCGAAAATGAACATGATTTATTAATTAATTATAGAGAACCATATAAATGTGCACTGCAAATGATAGAAAATGAGATTTCACTTAATTTATTATCAGATTTCAAGGAAGCCATTGCATCTGATAACAATCAGATAAATTTAGAAAATTATTATTGCAATATTGCCTATCTATGAAACACATTTTTGTATGTATGATTAAACTGATAATTTCTATAACACTGTATATATAATGTTTTTAAATTAAAGACCTTTTCTAAAAATTAATATTTTTATTCCAATTTCTTAATCTGAAATTACATGACCGAATTCCATAAAATTTCCAACACGTTTACAATGGTATAAAATTGCATATAGTACCCTAAACTCTAATTATTCATTATTATTCACTTGCGGTCATTCACTAGCCCTCAGCTAGTCAACTACTAGAGCCATATGGTCATTCACTAGTGATTTTTAAATTTTAAAATCATCAAGTCATTAATTTAATCAATATTACAGAAAATTAAAAATTCAATCTTTGAATGAGTAGTGCGAGTCAGGTTGAGTAGTGCAGATCTAGGTTTTTCGGGGCCTAGGGCTTATTGAAGTCCAATGGGGTCCCATTTTTTATTAATACAAATGATACTACAAATTTATCATTATTATTAACTATATTTTACTATACGACAAGTGCTCATTGTTAATGAAAAAGTATTAAAAATTTATGATGATAATTCAATTATTGTGGATCCTTAACACTTGGGGNATCAGAAATGATAAAAAAAATTAATAAATTTACGAGTAGAAAATACTATTGTGATCAAGAATTTGATTTCGATGTGATTTTTTTTTAAAGAATCGTCGATTCTGAATGTTTCATTAACAGAAAAGATATTTTTCAAATAGAACATCAGCAAAAATACTTATTTCTAAAATTTAATCGAAAAAAATAAAAAAACTGAGAATATGTTATAATGAAATAATAATATTTCTATTGCAGGGAAGTTCATTTTTATTTCTTTTCCTGAATTTCTTTTTTAACTTAATTTTTCCCTTTCGTGAATTATATAGCATTGCAAACAATTGAATTTTTCCGATATTGACAGGTAACCTTGATAACGTCCTTTGAGTAAATTATCAATCTTAAATTCATTATAAACGAAAAAACTGAAAAATATATCAAGATAAGATAAATATAGCCGGAAGCTATCTTGTATGATAAGTTTTGATTTTCATTTTAATCTCTTACATGAAAACAAATTTTAGTTTATTTTCAAACTACTTTAACTTATACATTCAAATAATATCAGAAATTAGAGATTTATATTACTTAAAACTCATGTACTGTACAGTACAGTACTGTACAATACACTTACATGAGTTTTATATAATATAAATCTCTAATTTAAATGCTACATAATTTGATTATTTAAGTTATAATATGATTAACCAGATTATAATCAACAATTATTGTAATTAATTTAATAATATTTGCATAGTCTGTAATTAATTAGAAAAGTTTATTCGTTTTTAATTTAATTGGATTTAACGATAGATAATAGAGAAAGGCATTTTTCTATAACATTTAAATGATAAATGCCGAATAAAATATAAATGAAAAAACTTTAAATAGTCTATATTTATATATGTATATATATTTTTTTCAGTTATTATACATACAATATTAAATTATGATGTTTTATGACCGAACTTGAGCCAAATGATCCTGCTGAGATCTCAATCTCGATTTGTTTGTGTATTTTCAGTTTTACCCCTTTTTAAACTCTTTCCACCCTGTGGGTACTAAGAGAGTTTTTTCCTCATATCCATGTAGGTGGTAAGATAGGGACCTGTCACGGCGGTCCCTATCTTACCACCTACCAGGTCCGGCCTCCAGACTGACCATCTTTGAAAAATTCCCGAGATTTGCTGCCTGGATTCGATTATTGAATATACAATTCTTCTATGATAGAGTGACCAGATGTTTTTTTGGGAAATCCGGGGACATGTCAATCTTCACTTTTTAGGGTATACAGTAGCAGCCTACATATATAAGTACTGTCAAATGTGTACTGTAGTGTACATACACATGACCGAGACCTAAACATTTTAATTTTGATTCAGCTGGTTTGCTTCAATCAAATAGCTCTCTTCCATTAAGATTTATAGCCAGCGTCGCCCGCAGACTATAAAAAATGGGGACAAACTATAAAAAAGGGCATCGTACACACACACACATATATACAGGTATCCGTTGATTAATACAGTTAATTAATCCCGTGATACTACCGCCTGTGACAGCGACGATATTAAAGTAACCACAAGGAAACGAAAACACAGAGAAAAACGGGTACAAGATCCCTTTACAGGGACAAAACCGGATACGCTTTCTTACCGGAGACAGAGGATCAAAAACGGGGACTGTCCTCGGAAGTTGGGGACGAATACCTTATCTATGAAGAAAACATTTATGTGATATGATTGGAAACATTCATTTATCCCTTTTTCTTACATTTACCCCAGATGCATATATATTGTTAATATAATTTAAAAAAATTTATAAATATATAAAATTTTAAAATT